TATCAAAGAAGGATATAAATGGCTCATGGGAGAGAAAGCAAAGGTGAGTTGGGCTAATGCAGTGTGGAATAACTGGACCCAACCAAAACACCAGGTTATAGCCTGGCTGTCCTGGAAGGGGAGGTTACAAACAAAAAGAAGACTAAGTAAATTCCTACAGATTGACACAAAATGTGTTCTCTGTGGACAACATGAAGAAGATGTCAATCATATATTTTGCTCCTGTAAGTACACCACAATAATACACCAGGAGATAGCTGTTTGGATGGGTGTGAATATCCATGTGCAGGAACTGAAGGAGATAGAGGAGATGCTGGCTAGATGCAAAAGCAAGGAGAGAAACCTGAGGGCTGCCACCTTCAACTCGTGTTGTTATGCAATTTGGAGAGTAAGAAACCAAATCATACATGGGAAGGAAGCAATGTCTACTGGGAAGTGTATTGATTATATAAAGTACCATGTAGCTATCTATATATTGCCCAAAAATAGGTAGTCTAATTGTATGGGAAGTAGAGGTAATTGCTGTTTAGCAAAACTTTGTATGTTTGATTGTGGATTAATATTTGCACTTTGTTCAAAAAAAAAAAGAATATTTTTAGGCCGTGTGGCGCGCATAGATGGTCAATTCTAAGCGGCCAAGTTCGAACTTCAGGGCACACACCTGGGGGGTATGATCAGATCGGAGTGGGGTGGGATTTACCGGAAGTAAGAATGTTCAATTTTACGAACGGGACTCCGGATCATTCTTTGGTCATCCCATGACATTACCGGACAATGTCATAGGAGTCGTCCCGTTTATTATAATTATACTAATAATAAATATTTTAATTTATTCGGCTTGTTCCGGCCCATGGGGCTTGAACATAAAATCCGAGCCTGATCCTAAAATATTCGGACCACCATTTATAAGGCCTAAGCCCGACCCATACCCTAAAATGTCAAGCCCAAGCTCGTTATTTTGCGGGCAGGCTTTTACAGGCGGGTCGGATACCCGGGCTTGTGATCGGGTCTAGGTCTTGGGCTTGAATATCAAAAGTTCTACAATATTTTAATAAACACCAAGGTTCCCATGACATTGCCCAACAATGTCATGGGATGACCTGTGAGCGGTATTACTTTTAGTTGAATTTGTACTAAATAGCACTAAAACATATATCTTTTCCCTTCAACAAAAACGGGATGTATTACTTTTAGTTGAATTTGTACAAAATAGCACTAAAACATACTCCCTCCGTCCTAAATTATTTGCTACATTTGTATTTTCGAGGCAAAATATTAAGTTTTTTCAATTCATTTTATTTACATATTGGTATAGAAATAAAAAATAAATTTACATATAAAAAAACTACATGAAAAGTTCTTCGGAATAAGAAGTGTCAAGAATATTTTATTTTATCAAATAACCAATGAAAACGTCGAGATAAACAAAAGTTCCCGCGACTGCTGAAAAGGCAAATGTTGTGAATATTTAGGGACGAAGGTAGTATATCTTTTTCCAATGTAGCATTTAAATTTTTATTTAATAAATAGTACTTGAATAATGTCTAGTAGCGGAAACAATGACGATTGATAATGGAATTTTAGTTTGAACAATATCCAGTGACAGTGAATATTTACTAGAACAACGACTAGTGGACATTGAAGAGTGATACTACATTGAAAAATAAAAATATATGATATTAATTGAGAAAATCACTATGTTTTAGTACTAATTAAGTAAATTTTATCTTTATTTATCCACATCTTATTTTATTTTAAATTGATTCTGGATGCCAGTGTTGCGCATTTGTCATGGCAAAAAGGTGTCAATGAAGTAATACCCGAGTTCGATTCCTGACTAATGCGCTGAGAGGTAATTATACATTTATACTAGGAGACTTTGCAAGTAAGCTATCAAACCGAATTGGAGGAAGATCTGGAGGCTCATCCTAGGGGTACACCAAAGGTGTACCCCATTTATCCCCCACCCCTTTCTCCACCACTCAATTTGATTTTATTTTTATTTATTTAATTTGTTTTTAATTTCTTGCCTTTTTCTGTGGTGATGGAGGGGGTGGGGGACAAATGGGGTACATTATTTGGTGTACCCCTAGTATTTTTCTTTACAGTTAACAAACTCCTTTGTATGTAATCTTTTTTACAATTATTTTTTACAGAAATGTTAACAAATACGGTTTAGCAAAAAAAACAAATACGGACTTTACTAGAATAATGTACTCCTAAGCCCAAGGATTTTGGGCCTAGTCCACAGAAGAAAACCCCATGAGTCAAGCACCAACATGAAACTTCTAAATAGTGTTTCTAGCTCCATAGCAATGGGACCGCAATTTTTTTTAAAAGGATAACTCCTCATATATATATATATATATATATATATATATATATATATATATATATATATATATATATATATATATATATATATATATATATATATATATATATATATATATATATATATATATATATATATATATATATATATATGAAAAGTAAAAGGTCGCTCATTTTAATGAGGAAAAAAATCATATTTAACCCAATTTTGATTAAAATCTGAAAAGTAAAGCCTTGTAAAAGTTGAAAAGAACACCCTCACAAACACTTCCTAGAAAGAGAACCCTATGTTTGGTTGGTGGAATTTGAAAAGAAAAAAAAAATCTTTTCCTTCGCCAAAACTGAAGAAAAATTATTTTCCTTCTCTCGTTTTCTTTTCCTTCTACTTTTTTCATCTTCTCATTCTTAACCAAGCAAGAGAAGTTGTTTCTTTTCTCATTTCTTTTTCTTTTTCGATTCAAATTCTTTGAACCAAACATAACGAATCATTTGCTCCATAGTGAACACTGGCATGTTACTAACTATGCCTTAAGAATACAATTAAAAATTGCACAAACACTCTGCCGACTTGAAGATGCAATTTGTGAATGAACAAAACAAAGAACATCAAAAGATCATTTGCAGGTGCTTCAATGAACAGTCAGTTAGTCAGTTTGAATCAGACAGAAACCAAACCAATGTTCAGTAATACAAATACAATAAAAGGGTTCAAAAGCCAAAGCTCTCGAAGATCATGTCGGTCATGGTGCCCAGCCTGGAAACCATCCTAGCGGCAGCTGAATCCCGTGCCTCAAAGGAATCGGAGTATTTGTCGCCATTGCAAGCGCATTCAAAGCTCGCTCCTTGCACCGTCACTTTTATACAAAAACCACCTATATAGTAGAAATGTTGTGTCCATTTATTAATTCAGTCCAGCACCAGTAAACAAGGCATGAAAGTGGATGAAATGAACAATGTGTTTGCCTGGGTGAGAGAATGCACTGTTATTTCACATGCAACTGTAAAAAGTTTAATAAAAAATGCCACACGAGGTGATAATTTATCGTAACAACCCGAATCTCTTTGAAAGAACGTTACTATTTCTTCATCAGTGTAAATAACAACAACAAACACAGTAAAATCCCACAAAAAAAGTAAGGTCTAAGGAGGGTGTGTGTAGGGAGGTTGTTTCCAAGATACTCAGACACACAAGCAAAGGTTACTATTTCTTCATCAGTGTAAAAGTCATCTATATAGACACACACACACACACATTCACATTTAAACATAGACAGATAGATTATATAGGTTGTCATGGGCCCTAGATTTGGATTGAAGACAATACACAGACGAGGAGTTTTGGACTGGAGTAGAACTGTAGAAGACCGGTTCTTGTCGTGCCAAAACTATGGTGGCGATTTAAGGGTTTAAAAGACAACAAGAAACCAAAAGAGGTCAAAGCAGTTGTTGAGAGCTTTGGAACTCCCAGTATTACATATGACAAGAAGTCTCTAAATTGTTTGATAATATTAAATGAAAAGCAATGTATAAAATAGGAATACATCATCCATTCTAATAAGGAATCCTAAAATAAGCGACAATTCCAATAATTATTCCCAACACCAGTATTCAGAACATTTTAAAAATAATAATACTCCGGGGTAGTAAGTTAATTGGTGATCTTATTATTCCTTCTGTCATTTCTCCTTCCTTTTACGGGTGTAGCTTCTTCCCCAAAATGCATCTGTAACACAGATCTCGATTACTTTTTACATACACATTAAGAAAACAAATCAAGCTAATGATCTAGAGTAACAAACCGAAGCTCAATCTATTTGAAAATAAAGAAGGTTACTATTTCTTCATCAGAGTAAAATTTGTCTATTTATACACCTTTACATGAGAACACTGCCACATGTATGAATATAAGGGAGATGGGTGGCGTTTAACAGCAGCATATAGGTCCAGATAACTTTTTACATGGATATTAAGGAAACTAATTGATTATATGTTTAAAAGAGAAAATTATGTGTAAGTGTAGGAGAAGCTAACAAGGAAAGTGGAGACTTATAAATTGAGATGAAGAAAGTACTATTTTAAGGAGGTCTCGTGTGCGAGTCAAAATGTCAAAAGTTGAAAGTAATACGTTTCAAAAATATTTTCTTCAAAAAGAATTCCTTTCAAATTTTGGGGTATTACCCTTGGCACCACCTTGCCATGAGATTCTAACACAAGTTTTTTTATTATGAGCATCATAAAAGGCATTTGGCAATGTCTCAGAAGATCATTAATAACTTGAAAGAGTTGGAACCCTAGTTTTGAGAAGTATGTTTCTTAAAACTGTCCTAATGTTGATCTCAGGGGAAACAGGGAAACATAGTTTGAACTCAGAAAAATGATAATGCACCAAATTGAATGTCTTGGCATGGCAATGAAACATGAAGCACAATTTGCCTAGAGAAGTTCAATCACATGAAAAAATGTCTCACCGTAAGTTGAGGAACACTCAAATGTGGGACGCCCCCAGCCATTTGCAGAACATACAGCATCCAGCTCCTATCAACATAAAATAATGCATGGCTTTTACTATGACAAGATTAAGACTGGTATTTTTCAATGCATGTATAAACAATCAATATGAATGAGCAGTTCATCGTCCATACAGTTGTAAAATATTGTCATAGGGTTTCTTCTTTCTTTCTTTTTTTTGCCATTGGGTTTCTATTACCAAAAAAATCACAAACATTTAAACTTGAGGGATCCGCGACTGCACGTTAAGATGCTCGAGCACCATCAAACTATCAGGAAATGCAAGAACGGATAGTGTCATAAATGCTTACATTTTTCCTTTTAAGATATATTTATATTTGGAATTAGGGTTTAAAACAAACATTACGCCTTTGTTTGGTAGTAGAAATGGGAAACTAAGAAAGATGAGGGCGGAGGAGGAAGAAGAGATATGAATACTTCTCTTGTTTGGTTTAGGGAAGCAATTGGGAGATAAAACAAAATTCAAAGTAGGAGTGAAAGAACCACCTTAGTGACCTTACACCACTCCTCCTAATGTGAGAAGAAATTGAAAAGAACTGAATTGGCTCCCAATTTCTACCTATTTCTTGAGGAGGTTGGGGTGGTCAAGTTGTTGGACCACCAACATATCTCCCTCCTTACCCAAGATCCCTCCCCCTCTCCAATTATCTTTTGGGTCGACTAAAAATAAAATCTACCCACTTCCTCCCCATTTCTCTCCTACCAAACAACACAAAATCTACCATATCTCTCTAGTCTCTACTATTTCTTTGTTTCCTCCATAAACCACAGGTTACAGAAAACAAATAAAGTTTGAAAGTAAGAATCTACCAGAATCTACCGCAGAAAATTAAGTATACATTTAAAATGGTTGGTGCTGCATCATGACTAGTTCGAAATAGGGCTAGACAGATAGAAGACAAGCTTCCATGAAAGGGGTCATTTACTTCATGAGAAACTTTCACACAAGGAAAGGTTTCATGGATGTTTGTCTTCCATGATAGGGATCATTTACACAAATAGGGGTTCACATCCTAAAAATGCGACATTGTGATCCAATTCCACATTAGAGTTCCAGTAGCCCCTTTACTTCAAGAAAATTCTTAGGGTGTCTCAGTTGGACTAAATTTCAGCTTAGTTCCAAATTACACAACATTCAATAACATTCAATTCAGTTTAGTTTCATTCAACTCTATCAAACGATCCCTTAGAATAAATGAAACCGTTTTAAATATGGCTGAAGCCCACCCAAGTTTGGTCAAACACTTTTTTTCTATGAGAATACTGTACTTCAAGAATTTAAACAAATGGATACTTTTTTCAGCCTACCCCAAGTTTGATTTTTGGGTAGCCCTTGCTACACCAAGACTATATGGTAGATACTCTCCTCCAGGCAAGCCATATGACAACACCAATCTGTTAATCCCTCCATCCCAATTCGTTCTAACATGTTTTTCTTTTTGTTCCATCCCAATTTATTAAACCCATTGACACTTGGAGAAAGCAATATATGATTCGTATAGTTTTTCTTGCCTCTAAATAAATTTAAACTACACAGTTTTCACTTGCATAGCAACCATGTCGAGTTAAAATAGGCAAAACAAATTGGCACAGACCGACGGAGTAATATTTGTAATGAGCAAAACACAAAAAATATAAAATGATTTGTACACCTCATACAGAAACTTACCTGGCTTGCATGTTGAAGCGAGTGAGCAACACCTTCATTTATCTTGCTATTCACACCTTGAGGAGAACCCAAGTCTACAAAATGTTGATCTTGTACTTCTTGGATGCGAGTTCCCATTGAGCATATTTCATCACAAAACTTATCAACTGTTTTTACCTCTAGTGTCAAATCATCTTCCCTACCTACAAAAAAAAGGACATATAGGCACACAGATATGAAACTAGATGGATGGATAGATACATTTATGGCAAACACGGTGCAGCTTCCAAACTAGGTAGGTGTTTAGGAGTTCACTAGGAATACAACCACAATGAAGGGTGGTTTATTTATGTAACTAAAATATTATCTAATGATTGCCCGCCTGATTACCCTATTAGGTACCACAATCAATTTTTATCCTTAAGAGCTATGGTATATGAGGCAATTAAAAACATATATATCCTGTCAAACTCCACTAAATTATCACATACACATGGGAATAATGTCCAAAATAAGGCTAAAACGCCTCCCCTAGCACTATTTTCCTCCACTGAGAACAACAAATTTGACTTAACGGGAGTCTTTGCAAGACTATGTTTCTGCGGTGGACGGGAGGGATGAGATTTTGATACTACTTTTTAATTATACTCCCTCCATCCCAAACTAGTTTCCTCTGTTTGATTCCAATGAGATTAAGGAAAGTATTGAAAAGATATTGAAAAGTGAAAAGAGAATGAATAGAATTTGTTTAGAAAAGAGGATTTTGGACCACATATTCCTTTTCAAAAAGGGAAAGAGAAAAAGTGGGAAAATTATTTTGAGACGAATGAAAAAGGAAAGTGAGAAAGCTTTTGTGGATGGATGGAGTATATATGAGAGGGGGATTCAAATGTTATGTTGTTTGGTTAAGGAAAAAATATGAGGGAGGACTAGATACACAAGTTTACTTTTATCGTGTTCATGGTTTAAAATGAGACTTATTTTAAGGAGCTTTTTAATTATTTGTTCACGTATAGTTATATAACAATTTTATTTGTTTAAAAGTTCATGGTTAAAATCACGTTTTGATTCGTTTAATAGTTCATGTTTAGTAATAGAACAAATTTTATACACAAGTACAATATACTCCCTATGTATATTATAGCCTTATAGGTTGCTCTACTTTCATTTTAAGGAAGTTTTTAATTACTTGTTTCACATTCCCTTTTTGGTAAACATGAGCTTACCAAATGACATACTGCTCTTACTTTTCATCATCTCTCTCCTATTGTTCTTGTTTATCTTCTCTCCTCTGTCTTTTCACATACACTATTCAAATACCCCTACAAAATTTTATGAAATGACAAATACTTTTATTTCAAACATTTATTGAATGTAAACATTTTTAATAGGTAATGTGGAATTTTAATTCACAAATAATTAATTATATGCAATAAAATACACTTTACTTTAAAATTTAAACAAAAAAAATTAAATTTGGCCTAATTAGATGTGGTCAAAATAATTTTTGTTGGGGGCATATATACATAAAGTTTTAATTTTTTTTACCTTGTTACAAAAAAATTAGTAGAGGGCATATGCCCCCAACTCCACTAGAGTGCATCCGCCACTGTATATAGGTATATCATGAAATTCACATAAAGAATTGAACATAAACAATACATGATGTGGTGTGAAAACAAAACTGTGGTGGATTTGTTCATAGGTAAACAAAATGTTAAAATGTACAAATTGGAAGTAAGTAATAATTTTTCCTCCCTTCCAAATCCACACACTTTGGAAGGGTAAGTTAAACATTTTTTAAAGTCCCGGGCTCCCGGCTACCCTCACCCTTGAACCACTATCCCTTCAAATTCAAGTTGTTGCAACTGATACAATGACCATGTAATGCATTCAAGCACAGTACTACAAATGGTGCACGTGCAATGCAATCAAGCACAGTTATACAGGTGGTGCACAATTCAATGAATTCAAACAAGGCAAAACAATTCATGGTAATTCATTTATTCCAATCACTGGTTTCCAATTTGGACTTCAGTTTATTTCATTTGAGATGTTTTGCTAATTCTGGAAGATACACATTTTGTTCCTTTCCTTTTAAAAATGGATTAAATATTGTTATCCATATCAATATAAAGGGGATTTATTTCTTCTTCATCAACACCTTAATTCCAACCAGCTGGAATTGGTGGCATTACTACAATAGTGTCACTTGACTCACTTCATTGCGTAAAATTACCTAAAACTATAAATTCATGCATAAAGCAAAGGGGTGATGTTTTGTGCTGAATGCCCTTATGGCCTTCTAGTTGAAACATTCATTAAAAAAAGGGGTTTTCTTTGTTTAATAAAATAAGCAAGAATGATATAAAGAAACATCAAGAACTCCGAGAATCGACAACTGCATTTTATTTGTATATATCAATACCGTGTTCCCAATCATGGTCCATGATATGCATATCATTCTAAAATATCAATTCTGCGAAGGAGCATGATTATAACCATCCCAACTCATCATTGTTTTGGTGATATTGTTCAATGCAAGTAAAAAGGCCATGATTATAACAATCCGATATAAACTCCTTCTTTAAAAAGTAGTGGGAGTCCAGCATAAAAGTTTGTCACTACTTTTTTACGAATTTATAATGAAAACTAACTCTAGACATTTACTTGAAACTTAAGTGTTTCGTATTACTAGACTTGAGATGCATCCCATATGCTTGATCTGATTAAATCTGATTTGATTTTGTGAAGATCTTGTCTGATCTGATTTGATCTGATCTTGTCTGATGTGATTGGATCTGATCTGATTGTAAATATATTTAAAGCTTTTTTTGTCTCGTCTAATCTAATTAGATCTAATCTAATCTGATCTGATTTTAATGATATAAAGTTGGTGCTAGTCATTATTCATTATCGTATACAATACATCAAGAGTATTTCGACCAACATTTACATTCCAAATTTCACTTCCACCTTTATTCGTACATTGGCACAAACCATGCCCCAAGAACAGAACAATTTGGTTTTATAGATGGGTGTTGACATCAAACCTCCTCGTGTGATTCACGCTCTTTATACCTACATGCAAACATTGCATCCTCCACTGTAATTAATACTTCGTAGTTGAATTCGGGGATTTCGTTGAGTCACTCTTAAATGAGAATGATAGCTTAGTAAAATATATGGTTCATTGGAGATCAAACTCCTTTTCCTTAAACACGCCTTGATTACGCGTCACTTCCAAACATTGTCCTACTCATAATCCACCACATAAGGCATATTACACCATATCGAACTATCTAACTTTCACGAGCGAAGAATCTCACGTGGACAAATGGCCATTCGGTCCATATGCACATTCATGACCAAATAAGGTCAACACATATAGTGCATTCGCTAAAGGATGCATGCATAGTTTGCTTTTGATGCAACAAGCCGTAACACTCCACCTCATACAGTTCTTAAACTCAAGCTTGATCCATAAAAGATATTGATGATGCATCTCATGATAATGCCACAATTGGCACACGGTTCATAGACCAAGACAAAAAGAGTAACATTCACGGGGTTATTTTTATTCCAATTATCATTGATTGCCATATTGGGCTTTAGTGTATTTCAATTGAGATGTTCACTAATAATGGGTCATTTATCGGTCGATCATTTACTCTTGACGGTTTTCCAAGCCTTGTGAGTTGTGACCCCTATAGATATAAATGCAATTTCCTTGTTTAATAAAATAAGCAAAAGCGATTCAAAGACAAATCAAAGGGAGCCCCCATAAAATCATGAAATGCATTTTTCTTCCATATTCATTATTGTGTTCATTACGCCATCATGCATTCCACATCTATCCATGTTCCAAATTCCATATGCACTCATAACCAAGCTCACCAATTCATCCATCGGTTGATGCATCTGTGTGTCGAGAACATGAGAATTTGTATTCATTGACAAATCTTGACAAGAAAGAGTGGAAAATGAGCTTTCAGTGTATAACATGGAGAGATTTTATAGTCTCCATAGAGAACCCTCTTGACTTGAGGTTACGGCTCGTGTGTAGTTGTTGATGTGCGTTCACATTGACGTGTCAAGAAAAGACCAACAATTTGCACCCTCTACACCATTGCACAAAACCTTGCATCCTATCCCACAAGTAATAGTGGAACTCATGGATTCAATAAACTTTTAAGCATGAATAACACCCTCATCAAATGTATCGACTCGATGTAGACCAAAGTCACCAAACTCCCTTCCCTTGAAAATGCTTTAAGGGGAATTTCCCACTTTCACAAGCAAAGAAAATCGGGTGGACAAATGGTAATTCAGTATATTCACTTGCACAACCAAATAGGGTTCAGATTTTTCACAACTTTCATTTAAGGTCACTTCGCGCTTGTGTCTTTGACTTGATCCAACGAATTGCCTTACTTCACTTGATGACTTAGCACAATGGAAACAACTTGACATTCATATCATTGTGCATGAAATTTAATCCAGTGAGCACACTTTCGGATTCAAGATTGATGCCATGTACTCATGTAAGGGGTTGACGGCGTGTTCCAAAAGAGTGTTGTAAGGGAAGTGTCCCGTGTGGCGCACAATTCATGGTTCAAGACCCAACAAGGTAGCAAACAATGGGAAGTGATTATTGTCTTTTGTTGTCAATTTGAAACTTACTTTATTTTACTTATAGAGGCTTGAATCTAGTAACTCTAATCTATATAGAAGGGAATTCCTTTGTTTAAGAAAATGAGAAATTTACCTAAATAGGACTAAAGCATAATGACTTTCCCAATATAGGACCATATGTTTTTATTTCTCAATGTAGGACTTTTGGTCATTATCAAGTAGTTATTATTCAAGTAAATGTCCATCATTACTGGACATTATTCCTCCCACTAGGTCATTATTAAGTCCTATTTAGGGAATTAAAAAGTTTAAGTCTTACATTGGGAAAGTCATTATGTTTTAGTTCTATTTAGTGCAAATTTTACTAAGAAAATTAGCAAGAACGAATTGAGAAAAAATTACGGGGAAGGAAAACTCTCAAAAAAGACCAAGTGTCTTTTACTCTCGTCATTCATCATAGTGTTTATTACATTATCATTTGAACCACTAGAATTCACATTCCAAATGACTTATACACCCATTGCGATGCTCCCCACTTCATTAGCCCATTGATGCAAATCATGCCTCGCGAACACAGGAGCTTGATAGACTTTTAGGGGATACCTACCAGTAATTTGAATGGTAGAGAAATTCGAATATAAGAAGATGGAGGCCATTGTAGAAAACTATTTGCTGGTTGAGGATTTGAAATCCCGAATGTTTGGATGATTGACAAAGTTACTTATCGAATGGAATTTTTAGAATGAAAATTAGCAAATAGTCATAATAACATCCTAATCTCTTTGCCATGCAAATTTACCATCAAAAAAATGCAAGGATAGTGTGCGGGCAAAAGAAATTATTAAACTTCTAAATTATATTCAAGCTACACAATAGGAATTTTCTAGCTTCAGACAGAAAAGCCTCTCATTTCACAAGACATATGTGCAACACTTATAGGAACCATGTTCTTCCACAAGTAAAATGAAGTATTTTAAATAAATTTAGATGAAAAACATTTTTTTAATGAAATAAGGCTGCCATTAGAAATAATATCACAATAAAATATTGAAACAAATCTGAGGTGCGTGAAATCATATATAAGCAAAAAATGAATTTGAACAGAAGGCAGCTAATGGAAACCATAGAAATCATACCATCTAAAACTTCATGGATGCTTTTCTCATACAATGCTAGCTTCTCTTCTATACGACGCTTCTTATTACACTGCCAACAAGAACAACACAACAAAAATTTATATATTAAAAAAATTAACCACATAAAAGAGTATATATATACATAAGGATGAGATGGATTTGAAAAAGGCATAGTTAAAAGCATGAACAAACTTATTAGACCTCTTGTTAATTTAATTGTAGTTATCAAAGCTTGAGAAATTTAAAAATCCATTAGAATTTAAAATTGCATGCCCTAAAGTTGCTTTTCTGTTTCTATATTGAGCATATGCTTTGTATTTAAATTGAGGTGTTAGACCTTTGATGGTAATGCATAAAATCGAAAGGAGTATGCTTACCAAATATACCTCAACCTTCAATGATACTTGCATTGGAATCTAGGTATGGTAATATGGTCTATGGATTAAGGCCTATACACAAAAATATGTTTCGGTTGCAAAAGCAAATTTCAAACTCGGCTCATTTTAATTGAATGCAGAAGATAGACATCATTGCAACTTTAAAAAGTTCTTTTGACACAATAATTTATATCATTTTGGTTTTTCCCCCTTTATTTGAAAAGGATATGTTTAGGCTGCAATCTGAAAAGATTGGCCGATGTCAACAAAAAGTAGCAAATTGTTCTACTAGCCAATGCCCAAATGCATGCCTTGTTCTGTCAAAGAAGAAAACAAATTACCAGTGCCTCCTTTTTCTTGTAGAGAACACCAAGTACAGTCTCCACTGATGCCTTTCCCTTAGATGCTGAAATAATTTCTTTTCCAGCTGCCCCTGTCTGCTAATCATGTAGGCATTCAATGTTATTCATAGAGGAAAAGTAGTATGTATACATAGATCAATTATATATGCCTATTTCAAGTGCAGAGTCCAGTGTGGTTGATCTTGACTAGTCAAAGGGAGAACAATAATGCTTTCCTAAACATGGTTGTCGACTTGTAGATAACAGAAAAATAGAAAGGGTGTCAACATCTTCAGAGAACAAAGAAAAAGAAGGGTCGATAGCCTAGAATTTTCCCATAGAAGCAGGGGATTATACTCAATTGGCATTGATCATAACCCTTTGAGGGAGAGAAAAAATAAATCTCCCCTTAACAACAGAAGTAATCATTTGTTTTCTCCTATATTGTTTGGTGATTGTTAAGTGATTCTAGCCCCGCCCCCCCTCCTGTCTAAATTCTAAATTCACCCCATGTTTTAACACATCTGATACTCTACAGTATATAGAAAAAATTTGCTTCTTTGCCTCCAAAATCTGCAGCCTTGCTAATCCTCTTAATTATTTTTTCTTTCCACTCGGCACTTATTGACTCACTAATGAAAAGTCAAAGCTTTCATTTCAAATTATCAACTTATTTCACTTACTACAACATCTATTGAATCGTCTGTTTGGTCATTCGACTCATGGGTACTCTTGTCACGCTTCTCAGTTAATTCCCAACCCATACTGCTGCAATGGTTATCTGAGCAATCCTTTATCATGATGTTTGTATCTCCCATTTTGGAAGATGAAACTTCATTCCCTACCTCTACGCCACCTGATTTTTCAAAACAGGAACTCATGTCATAGCACTTGTTTATTTCACCAGCTATACTGTTGCAGTGGTTATCTGAGAAATCCAACATCTTGATGCTAGTGTCCCCTGTCTTTGAGTGTGCAATTTCATTCCTTAACCCTTCGCCAATTGAAATTGCTTGATGGGAACTCATGTTGCAATTTTTGTATATTTCACCGACCACATCATTGCAGTGCTTGTATGAACAATCAGCCATCATGATGCTTGTATCCTCCATCTTTGGAGCTGCATTTTCATTCCCTACCTGTTCGCCACTAGATTTTGTATAATTGGCACCATCGTTGTTGTTCACATTTATTTCATAAACAGCATTGATGTCGTGGTTATCTGAGAAATCTGGCATCTTGATGCTTGTATCTCCCATTTTGAAAGATGCAATGTCATTTCCCACCTCTTTGCTACTAGAATTTGCATAATTAGTTATGTTGTCACAGTTCTCATTTATTTCAGAAACCATATTGTTGCATTTGTTATCTGAGCTACCCAGCATCTTGATGCTTGTATCCCCCATTTCCAACATTGTATTTTCGTTTGCATCCCTAGTGCATATAGAAATTGAATTTTGCAAACCACTTGGAGTTTTATCCCTGGAATCCAAAAAAGGCGCTTCATGTAATGTCAAAATAAAAGGGAAAGGCAGTAAACCATCAATCGCTATGCTATGACATGACATCTAAAGGAACTTATAGAGTTATAGTTAATAATAAACATCACCAGTACCGCAAATGCCAGGCTGATAAGATAGTGGCATAAGGAAGCAAATGAAAATTCTCCACAACAGGAGTAGTAAACCAACGACCAGAACTCTTATCTAAAAGTGGGCCCTGCAAGCTGATGAAATGGAAGTGTTTTAGTTTATCAAAACAAAAGATCCGTATATAATACAAATAATATGGCATCTTTCACCAATCTTTCAAATATTATGCTGCCTTAAAAAAATCCCAACTTGGTTCTCACTATCATTTGGAAGATTTTCAAAGGGTGATGCTAAATCCACACCTTGAATGGATATGTCCACAACTTTCACCTAATTTTGCTAAATCCACACTCATATCAAATTTATACTAATGAGTGTGGATTTAGCAAATTTAGGGGAAATACGTGTATATAGTCACTTAAAGTGTGGCTTTAGCAACACCCTTTTTAAAATTATACTCCCTCCGTCCTAAAACAATCTTCCCGGTTTGACCGGAGCCCATTTTTAAGAGAGTATAAATTATTCTTTGACTTTCCTAAAATGCCCCTCAATCATCCTAGTCTAGAGAAAACAATGAAGAGAAGATTTCATCTAAATACAAATCCTCTCACTTGTGAGTTAACCCTGAAAAAAAATACAATCATATCCAACAACTAACTCTAGAAGATGAAAAAGGTAAAACTGAATAATTTATGTTTTAGATTTGGGTTTAAGTCTAACATGACCAGGGACCACCATCGGGAAAATGGAGAGGAAAAACTCTTTCGTATGGCAACCCAGAAGAGGAGCCTACTTTCCGTTCTCCGACCACCATTGTTGGAGCTTGGATATACGACACTGGATCTGCGCATGCATTTTACGGGAGCCTCGTTTCAAGATCTGACACTGAATCTACAAGATCTACCGCGTCAGAGGAAGAAAAAACTATTTCATTTCAAAAAAAAAATGAAGAGGAAGATGAAATGAAAAGACGGAAGAGAGAAATTAAGAGAGAGTGTAAAGAAGAAAGTAGGTTGAGAGGAGGGGCGGAAATTGTTTTTTAGGGAGAAGAAAGAGAGAAGAGAGAAGAAGTAGATCTCAAGATTCGATCTATGGCTTCGAAAGACATGGAAGATAGAGGAGAGAAAACGTAGAGAGAAAAAGAAAATGTGGAATGGTTGGGAAGTAAATGGTGAAAGGGGTACAAATGTCTCTTTGTATCTTTTTTTGAATGTGGGAAGATAGTTTTAGGGCGGGAAGAAAAGGGAAGTGGGAAGAACGTTTTAGGACGGAGGGAGTAGTAGTTTCCATCCAAATTCAAGTTAAAATTTGCCGTACATGTTCTAGTTCTTGCGATGGTCCCTGCGGATGTTAACGCAATGTGATTTCTGCCCAGTGCTCTGAATGTCAAAGTGGATCTCTAAACGCAATGTGATTTCTGCCCATCATCTCTGATGGAGCCAAAATTTCACCATTTTTTGGCTTTGGGGTGTGATGGAATAAATCAAAATGGATCTCTAAATTGTCTGCGCTTCTTTAATTAATGAAGTAGCAATTAGTCAAGCAATGCAACTTTCGACGTTGAGCCGGAGGTCTCTTTGGAAACAGCCTCTCTACTTTTGAGTAGGGGTAAGGTCTGCGACACACACCCTCCCCAGACCCTACTCTTGTGGGATTTAACTGGGTTGTTGTTGTTGTTGTTCTAGTTCTTGTCTTGCAGAGAATGTGTGATTGCCGCTAGAGAGGAATTATGAGCATGAACTTAATAACCTATTTCTCACTCTTGAAGAAAGAAAAGTAAACTAGAAGCAGGAAGAAATGATGAATGGAACTGTTCATGCAAATGTTTAAGTTTGAGTTCAAAAGGCTTTTCCTGCCAATTCATTATGTGTTTGCATTTTGCAACCTGATGTGTACAATGGTGTCATGGATTACTGAACTTAATATTATGTTGTATGATGGGCTTTAAATTCCTTGCTATTGATATGTTCAAACTCACTGGAACATGACAAGGACTTGAGGTATATACAAAAGCAAAATATCATTAAAGACCTTAGACTCTATACACAGTAAATTGATTATGCAATCTGTATGATGCTTTTTGCAGGTATCAAGCCCCTAATTCCAGATTTCCAGCATAATTACTAGTCATGTTGAAGTTTTGGAACTTTGCATGGTTGTGACACTGTGAACAACAATAGTTTGTTCAGTAGTAAGTGCTTGAGTCCACGGCCATACTAACCTCTTGATAGTGTCTTTAACAGGAATTATAAAATCTGGCTTTGGTGGTTTACTGCATTGGATTATGTAAAAACAAGCAGTTGTCTTTGCTTTGCTTAAAGAATACACAATGTGCTTCTCCAAAACAACAAGATCAGATCGTTTAAGACCTGCACAACATGAAGCACGGTATCCTTGCATTATGGAAATTAATCAAATCAGAAGATAATATTCCACAAGTACAAAGTTACAAGAAAACAGGATTATGATTTTGGAAGGAAATGAAGCTACAAATATAAGGCAATCCGCTCAGGCAAACAATAGGTTATCATCCTTCTAGTCCAGATATTGCATCTTTTTGACAAGTAATAATGCTTAAATCCAAAGGTGCTTCAATTAATATACCACTCTCTTAAGAGCCCTCCTGTCTCAAGATTATTATTTTTTTTGAGAAAACTCAGAAATTTGCAAATTCTATGCACCAACTTGGTGCCTCTGTTTTTGTGCAATTAAAAACATTACTCAAACAAACTTGAGAAGCACTTCAAGGAGCATGGGCCACACGTCCATCAGCCTTCTGCAACTCTGATAACTCGGCCCACAATGGGTAGGCAGTAGGTACATCTATTTTACATTTGTAGTTTTAATGATTTATATAACTTTTACTATTTAGAAAAACTTGAAAAGTATATTAAATTTTGTATACCAATTGTTGAATACCTCCGAGTACTCATTTCCTTTACTTTTATATCACCGTAGAAATGTAGCATATAATTACAATAACAAACACCACTTATGTGGATTGGCGGTTCCATCTTGTCAAGCTTTACACCATTTAGAATACTACATCCAGGTAAGACGTGTGATAAAATTCATAGATGACCTTTTGTAAAAGGAATTGGCAGGATAATTTGCAATAATAACACAGCTACCTGTTGCATCTTGAGCTGCTAAAAACGCAAGCCGTTGTAATCTTGACTCACTGGTATTTGGTTCACTTGTTAATGAAGTTTCACCAATTCGCTTTCTTTTATTCATGTGTTCTGAATCACGGGATGGGGCACTAAGATCTTTTTCAGGAACAGACCAAACCCCATCATTGACAAGACCAAACTTCAGGAAACATTTTTCCTTGCTATGGTCAACTAAGAAAACAGAAACTTTTGAAATCCCCCATCCTTCTATAGCGGGATTAGTTTGCGATGCATCGAGAATCAAGGATATGTTGCATGCATCTTGGATTGCTCTTTCTGTTATAGAAAACTGCTTTTCAAAGTCAGTTAACTCCACAGAATCTGACTGAGGCTTGCAATTCATATGCCAAGCTAAAACTGGCTTTAGAGTAACAACCAACTTGCAAAATGCCTCAAAATCCAAATATTCTGCTTGTGGATATTGTTTCCGGTGGTAGTAGTTGTAAAGCAACACAACTGCACGCAGCTGAATCCAAAAGGGGGAAAAAAGGAAAATGAGTGAAAACAATATAAGGCTAAAATGCATCAAAACAGTCCAACTCAGACTACATGAAGTTGGTAGCATTTTGGATTTGTATTCAAGAATGGAAAAGAAGATCGTGGTTGTGATAAGTTGGCAACAATCTTAAAACTGCAGCCACTCTTATGATCATGAAACAAGATGAGAAGAATTCAAGTCCTTTGAACACATAATGTATGGTCGTGCGCTTCATGAATTATAAGACGAGTGGCTCAAAATTCACATATGTGTGTAAGTGCATTCTTAGTTAACTAAATTAACACATGTGAAACTCCAAATGCTAAAAACCAAAAGAAACTAACCCGACCTACTTTGGACCCCATACCCAAACCAAAACTACTAGGGTTTAAAAAAGTTGCCAACTGAACCTAAAGATGACCAAATCCAAAATGACAAAGTAAAAATGGGTCAAATTCAAAATCATGTACTTTAATACTCCCTTCGTCCCCAAAAAAAGTCCTCTTTACTATTCCAAGGGTCAAAGTATATTTTTCTCCTTTACGCACATTCATTGATCATTTGATAAAATCACATAGTCAAAACTCGTTTTGTATAACTTTTGATGTACTATGTAGTTTTTAAATATATTCGTACAATTTTTATTTTTTTAAATTCTACACCAATTTTAAATAAAATCAAATGAAAATAAGTTCGTTCAAGCATTGTAAGCCAAAAATGGCTCTATTTTTGGGCGTACGAAAAATAAAGTGATAAAAATCATGTTAACATTTGTTCCCATTTCACATCATTGTATTGTATAAACTTATCTAACGAGTTTTTAATAATATTGTATTGTCATATGACTTTATTTCACATTCGTATATATTTGAAATTTTTTCTTTGTTTTATACTATTATGGTGCATATTTAAAAATTATTTAAAATTTTATAAGAAAATATTGGAATAGCTTTAACTGATATAGTTTAATACTCCATCACAACCCTTTTTCTTCTTAGTTATATGAGGGCCAAAGTTCAATCACTTTGCTTAATTTCATTACTCATTTGAAAATTTAATACAACGTTCTAACTTCTTGTTTTGTAAAATTTCTTATGTAATTTTCAAATATATAAACTTTATGTGTTTTTAAATTTCACCTCAATGTTCATATAAATTGGATCAAAAATAAACTCAATCAACCATGATAAGTAGGAAAACTATAATGGGAAAATAAAATCAATCAATCAATAAATTTATTGAAAATAAATTCAGTCAATCAAAAATAGATAAGGCAAGCAAAATATAACTATTTACAAAAAAAATGAACAACAGCCAAAAGAAACATCCAAAAACACTGAGCAATAAAAAAAAGTGTAAGACCTGTTTGGCTACGGATTCCTGCTTATTGAGAGGCGGAGGTCCGGGAGGAATGCGCATTGGCAAGTGAGGCTCCACCAATACATCCATCAGCTCGTTCACCAAGAACTCCTTGGAGACGTCCTCAAGCCGGGATGCATCCATTCTCGAATGTCCTTCTTATAACCCTAATTTAAAACCAAAAAAATATTGAAAAATTGAAGTCATTGAACAAACAAGAAATCAACTACTGTTCTCAGGTACTTCAAGGGGGGGAAATCAGGTGATCCAACCCCAAAATTATCCAAACAGAAGCTACAAATTCGGCCTGCATCAATCAATCATCATTCACAAAACTTAAAAACAAGACTAATAAATCTGCTGGAAATGCAATTCGGGAGTACATTTGCTTCTCACCTAGATTACTCAGGGAAGTACGGCGAATGCAGGCGTCGACGGGAACGAGGAGGAAGAAGAATCCGGCGGAGAAGATAAGGCGAGAGATGAGATGATTCTCAGAGAGAGGGGGTGTGAATGTGCATGTCACTTGTGGTGCTGCCACGATACAAATACAGATACAATACAATACAGATACAGTAGAGTACAATACGCTGCGCGAGGAACTCGTGCCGCTCTCATGCTGAATTGATTGCAGGTTTTCTGGCGCATTTATTAGTGAGTTGGAATAGTGAATTGTCTTCTTCCCCGGAGGAGCGCGCGAATCCCTCCTCTGGTTCTTACAGTCTGAACACGTTCTTCTCCCCACCCACCCCTGGTGGTGATACTCGTGATAGAGTTCCTTTCCTTTGTTTTGTTTGGTTTGGAAATTTTGGGAGATGAGCTAGTAGTAATGGAAAATGATATTCTCAGACAAGACCATACTCTTTCATCGTGAATTAAATCTTTTTTATTACAAGTATCTTACTTTATTTTAAATTTAATTTATTTAATTGTAAGTTTAAAATTTTAAAATATTTTGTAAGAATCGAATTATTTCTATAATAAATGAAATTAATTAAAGAAGAATTGTTTTCAAAAACAGAAATAAATGACTCAATGTTTTATATTTTAAAATTAGCCCAGTGTGTTAAAACTTACATTATAACTAAATATGTTTTTTCATAATTTGTGGTTAAAATATTAAATAGTTTGACCAAAAAAGTTTAATTATGATGATCTTGTTGAGACGGCGAAAGTATATATATTTTTTAAAAACTACATACTTCGTAAAAATTTCTTTAAAAAAAGGTGACATGAAAATATTATATTACTAAATGAATATAAAAAATAAGCAAACAAAATAAATAAAATTTAATCGTAAAAAAAACTAAAATATATAATTTTGAATAGTTATATCGTGTGAAATACTTGCATAGTTTTTTGTTTCATGCACGTGCACTAATGTTACTTGAGATATACTCCTTCCGTCCCAAATTATAATGCTTGTTTACTATTCACAGGGTCAAACTTCATTCACTTTCTTTCTCTATTTTCGTTAGCAATTTGATAAAATAAAATATTATTATCACTACTAGTTTTGTAGATTTTTTGATGTAGTTTTTTAATATGTAATTTTTATTTTTTAATTCTATACCATTTGTCATATAAAATGATTTGAAAATAATTTCAGTCAAACATCGTAAACTGAAACAGACGTTATAAAATGGAACGGAAGTAATACCAAATACTATTAAAAATAACGTAGGTTCAAAATTAAAATCAATCGCAACTCATAATCTAAACTATGATTATTTGATTATTCATTTAGGATTCGATAAATATTCGAATATCAATCGAATATTTATTTAGAACTCATTTCATATTTGAAAAAATTAACCAGATACAAATTCGAATATTTTGGTATTCGATATAATTCAATTCGATTCATTTACGATCCTACTCACCTCCTCTTATATATGGAGTAATACTCCCTCCGTCCATGTATGATCTTCTCATTACGCGTTACGAGGCTTGACCGACTTTATTTTCAATTCAATTTAATTGATTATAGGAGTAAAATTTTAAAATAAAATTTATATAGTAATAAACTACATGAAAAGTTCTACAAAATTAAAGGTGACAAGACTATATTATTTTATGAAATGACTAGTAAAATTGAGCAAACAAAGTGAGTAAAGTTTGACCCTGTGAATAATGTCCGGGAAGATCTATGGTGGACAGATGGAGTATTTCTCAGTGGTAAAGGTAATAATTTTGACTAACTTAATTCATTAATTTTATAGAAACCCAAGACACGTCACATAATTAATGCTCACGTGATTAAATTCTATCATCTTTATCTATTTTTATTACTCAATTAATAAAATAAAAGGAGCATTTCACCTCTTATTTTTTAGAATTTTGATATAGTTTTTAAACTTATAATTTATTTATTTTTGTTATTTCAAAAATTTTGAAATAAATTAAATTAAAATTAATTTGAATAAAATATTGTAGACTGCAAGGAAGTTCTTTTTTTGTAAGGGGGGAGTTTTGTTTTAGTGACTAAAGTATCACGAAAAAATAAAATGTGAAGTTAATTGCAGCAGAATGAAAGGATTATATACTCACACTAATAACATTATTGTGCTAAAAGAAATTAGTACTCGTAATAATCTAATGCAGTAATAGTAATGATATCTTGGAGTATCTCATTGATTAATGAGTAGTAATAATACTCCGTAATAATCTAGAAAAGCACTTGAGATTTCGTGAATCATAATCGTAAAAGGATTCTTTGTAGTGCAAAGTAATAAATTTGAATTTATGGTTCCACTTTTAGGTATACAAAACCAGGACATCTTTTATAAAATAAAATCATTACAAATTTTTTAATGTGTGATTTACAACCCATACTTCTCATATTTAAGTATGTTTCCACAAGTAAGAGTATGTTCATCTGCGTTGAAAAACTTAACTTCCAACTTTTTCTAATTAAATACTTATATCGTTTAAATAAACACTAAAATTGTTCTTTTATAAATACAGTATGACTTTAGATTCGTTAAAAAAATGTTAACAAAAAGGGATTATTATAAAACTGATTTGCTATTCTACAATTATGGATTTAATAGTCTACAAGTATGAATTCTATAAAATGACTATAATAACACAAAAACAAGGGTGGGGTTCACATACATTGGGTTCCAATGTCATGGGATGACCCGGGAGCGCTCCGGTGCCCCGTTCGTAAAATTGACAGTTCCTACCCTCTAACCCCCCCGGTAAACCCTCCTACCCCGCCCCGCCCCGAACACACCCCCCTACCCCCGTCAAATGCACCCCACAAGTTGATTTTGATTTTGGAGTCAAAATTTAAATAGAACAAAATCAGCTCATCAAAGGCAAGGTCTTTCCTAAAGAGCCTTTCTACTTTTGAAAGTACGAGTAAGGTATGCGGGTACATTCATCCTCTCCAGACCTCACTTGTGGAATCTCGCTCGGTTGTTGTCGGTGGTGGTTTGAGTGATACAAGGGTCAATGAAGATAACACCAAAAAACTTCAACAAAATATATGTGAATTTTATAACAATACATCTTGCATTTAATGCAGTTTCTGCAAATTTGTAAGGACCAAACTATAGTTATATATTGTCATTGGAGATGGGTAACATTAAACCATAACCTAAAAACATAGATGAAAAAAGATAGAAGAAAAAAATTGGTTCAAGATGAGGCCTTGGTAGCAGCAGATTGCTTCTTCGTGCCCTCTTGTTTCTTCTTTTCTGAACCGGCTGCAGCCTTTCTCCGGTCCTTCCTCTCCCTCTTCTTCAAAGCAGTCATCCGAGCCTTCAATAGAATTGCATAAGAAGCTTGAAAACGCTGGTGATCTTTTGGGCCCACCTATTATCCAGTCAATTCATGTGCGTAATTAGCAACAAGAACATCTCCGGAAACAAATAAATGTTAAGTTACAAAGGCTTCTTGGTTCCCGAAAACGAAAGTCTTTCACTACTAGGAAAAGAAAATGTTACGTGCTAACGGATTCGGGTACATAACTATGGGTCAACAAAACTTCCATAATCTGCATTTAGGCATACTCTTAAAGGCAAGGTGCCAAGGCATAAGCATGTGCATCTTAATCAACAGAAAGGATTATCAAATCTTGGCCATTTTCAAAAAATATGTGGGTGTTTATGTGAACTCATAGTGCTATGTTCTGTATACCTGCATTCCTAAGTAAACTGTCCACTACGATTTAAATGCCAGCAAGGAGGCTTAAAAACAAAGAAGACATGCTGAGGAATAAGACTATAAGAGATTGTACCGGGTTGATTTATGTACAGAAATCTCACTAAATTTTATATCACCACCAATCTCTCTAAAAACCAAACAATGTGAAAGGACTGAAAGAACAATAGTTATAAAATGCAGGTATAGGCAAATTAAAACACATGACATGACATGCTACTTTAAACAACAATGACTAGCAAAATATTTAGAGAATAGCAATCCAACACAAATTAAGCAAAATAAATTGGATTTAAAATGCACCAAACAATGTTTACCATGGTTGAAATGTTCTTTTTCCCATCGGTTGCTCGAATGAGGCACTTATATTCAATTTTTTCACCAGCAGTCTTCATTTTATTCCGTTGGGATTTGGACTTATCAGAAGCTGCACACTCATGATATAGAACTTTATTATTTTAATCAATAAACAATGCAGCAACGAAATGTAATACGAATATCAACAATATATTACAGTGCTTAAGTGTGACCCAAACAGAGCCCTTTTCCATAGTTCGCTCAAACATGTTTGTCAGTTCATTGAGGAATGGATCTGGCTGTAAACGCACCTAGTAAAATCAACAAAAGTAACCAAAGACAAATAATGTTGCATTTAGACAAAACTCTCCAATATTCATTATGTAGAGTATATAATTATGCAGCACATCAGAACATTGATTGGTATACCCGTACACTATTTTAAAGAGCACCATAAACACATTTTATGACAATTTAAGAGTGACAGCCTTCTCTTTATTTTGTAAATCCAAGTCACGACGTCTTGCCATGTCATAAGAAGAAATAACTGAGGAATTCTTGTAATGGGACATTGGGACTTGTGTCCATACAAAAGTATAAATCTTCCCTTTATTATGTCTATTCAGGTTGCAATTCTAAGTATAAAACTATAAAGAAACAAGAGATTTCAGGTATTTGATATGCTTCTCTGACAGGCATGGTGGAATTGTACAAGCTCCATTTGCTTATCTCTTACTCGCTATACCTTCCACGCTGCACCCCTAACCCTAGGTTTAATGTGTCTTCTCCTACTAGCCGCAATTCTCTCTGGGATAAGAATTCAATAACCCAAACATTGACTCCATTTCTCAATCAAGAGTTGGCCAACCCACAAGACAAAAAATAAGATCTAACACATTCTATGATGATGTACCATTTTTAAATATAACCCCAAAAAAGTGTTGGGTATCTCCCCAATTACCAAATATTGAATATATTGGAGTTTATTTCACTTTAGTAGTTTAACTTAAACTAACTAGTAAATAATAAAATGTGCAAGTGTGTGAAATGAAAGTGGCATACACAAGGGGGAAAACAATATAATTGGGCTAAGGTGATATTGAATAGTAAAGAAGATTGAAATATGGCTAATGATGATGTTGTGTGCAGTCATAATAGCAAGAAAAAATGACATGTTGATTTCCTCTTCTTTCATGTGGTAAGTGGCATTGTTTGCCTATAAAGAGTAGAGAAAGAGAAAGCCTCTGGGTGGGGGTGGATGTGCTTCTTGCAAGACTAGAGATAACTTGT